AATCGCGACGTCCATGAATAGCCTTCGATATTTCGATCATAGCTTTTTTTCGATATCTGATTGAGGTGATTCAAAATGCACTGGAAAGATAACTCGAAGGGCTACAATTCTTTTGGAATAAAATTTCTCTAATTCGAATGTTTGCTGTACGAAAAATGGATCTTAGGTAGAGACAAAATCTGGAGCATATCTTTTTCGCCTATAAATTAATTTGTGAGAATACTTAGGCTTTAGTTTACTCCTTTGACTTCCAATTACATCCAATTGATCAAATATGGCCTTTAATCATCATTTAATGGTCCGAATCAACTATTGGATGTTTACACTTTGATCCCCGAACTTTGGGTTTCTTTCATTTTTGTCATTTTTCATTCATTTTTTCCAATTCGACCAATTTGCCCCACATTTTACCTAACGAATAGATTTAACACGTAACTAAGCTATAATTCATTCAAATCACTAACAAGTACTCCAATTTAATGGCCTAGATAAGTGTATGTACACTTATCAAATCTAGCTATAACTATTTGTTTAGAGGGTCTTTTGGATATTGATGCATTTCTCAATGTGAACATAAATTCACTAGTAGATTTTGAGCCTTTTACACCAGATATTCAATTGGCATCATTATACCCTTCAATGACTACTGGATATTCGGTGTAGTACAATCTATCGCTATAAATATATCCTAAGTACCTTAGTAATTTTATTATTCCTTTCCAGTGGTCAACTCTTGGATTACTTATGTATCTACTCAGCTTACTAAATATGTAGGCTATGTTTGATTTTGTACAACTCTTCAAGTACAACAGACTTCGAATAATCTAAAGTTCTCTACTTGAGAGACAAATTCACCTTTAGTTTTAGATAGATTTTGACTTATATCTATCAGTGTTCTAGTCATGTCATAATCATCATTATTAAATTTTTCCATAATTTTGTCCACATAACATAATTGGTTTAGAACGAGTCCTTCTAATGTCCTTGAAATTTTAATTCTAAGTATCATATTAGCTAAACCCATATTTTCATGTCAAATATCAAATTTAACATATTTTTAGTGGATTTGATCATCTTATCATTACTACTAATGATAAGTATGTAGTCAACATAAAGACATAAAATGATCTAATTGATTTTGGTGTCTTTGACGTAAAAGCATTTGTAACACTCATTGATCTTAAATTCACATTCCATCGTAACATTATCAAAGTTTTCATGCCACTATTTGGTTGCTTATTTTAAGCCATGCAATGACTTCATCAAGTTACAGATTTTCTTTTCCTGTTCTGGTGATAAAAAAACCCCCAGGTTGCTCCATATCGATTTTCCCTCTAAATCTCCATTCAAAATGGCGGTTTTAACATCTATTTGATGTACTTCAACATTTTTGCAAAGCTACAATTGCAAGTATTATATTAATAGATGTTATTCTCATCATGGAGAATATGTAACAATATAATCAAGGCCTTCTCGTTGTCTGTAATATTTTATCACTAATCTAGCCTTATGATTCTTGATAGTTCCTTCTATTTTCATTTTCGTTTTGAAAGTTTATTTGTAGCCTAGTGGGTTTACCTTCTGGAGAAAGATCCACTGGCTCCTAGTATGATTTTGCAAAATATAATTTATTTCACTTTTAATGCCCATACGAGCACGAACCAAAGGAAGGTGCCAAGCCGAAGTGTACAAATCTCATAGGACAACATCTGTGACCTCTTTTCATTAAGGTCTTTTTGAAGAGTTCATAGCTTCTTGAAAGTTTTGAGGTTCACTTTTTAGCATATAAATCAGAAAACTAGGACCATAAGATTTTTCGGTCCTTTCTCTTTTGTTGCATCTTGGTTCAACCTTATCTTTCTCTTGTAGTTATTGGTCCGCTCTATTTCTAATCATAGTTGCATATGTCATTTTAGAAGAGCATGCTTTCTCTTTAGATCTATATGAAAATATATGTTTAAAGAATGAAGCTTCTCAATTCCATTATCGTAATGTTGTGTATGTCTAGGCTTTTAAACTCATGAACAAGAAACTGGTAAGCACTAATATTTTATGCATAGCCAATGAAGATGCAATCTACAGTTTTCGGGTCTATCTTCATCTTCTTTGGTATTGGGATAACCACTTTAATAAGACACTTCCTCACTCATAAGTATTTATAAGGAGACTTTCTTCCTTTTCATAACTTATAAAAGGTCTCTTTTTCTTTCGTAGCACCTTATTAAAAAGGTAATTTGTCGATAACATAGCTTTCCCCCACATGTTCTGAAGTAATCCAAAATTTACTAGCATTGCTTTCATCATTTTTCTAAAGATACGATTTTTCGTTCAGCACATCATTTGTTGAGGCGAATAAGGTGTTTTGATTTTATGTATAATTTTGTGTTGTGCACATAATTTAACAAATGTTGCTTCATATCATCAACTTGATCACTTTTTAACACATTTATTTTCTTAAAGCTCAAGGTCGTGCTCACACAAAAGTTCATGGTTTGATGTACAATTCAATCCGTGATTTGCAATCTCTCTAGGAGCACGTGAAGAGAACCTCTATACAACACATGATTACATCATTCCAATAAAGTAGTCTTTGCTTTCATGAACTTCCTGTGTGGGATAAATTTAAATATGGTTTTCCCTCCAACACAAACCATTTTCCAATGGTCCACTTTAAACTCCAATTTTTCATTCCCCCAAGCATCAATTTTGGCAAGTAAATATATGATTTCGATGTTCTCAAAATATTGCCAAAATTAGCCCATATATGTACATTTTCCAGTATTTTATTAGCTACTACACAATATTATTTATGCTTCACACTTTTGATACATTCAATCTTAATCCACGTGCTAAATTTGAGGTTTTAGGGACTTATGCCAACTTCGAATATAAGGCATCTATAAAAATTTAAAATATATAGCAATGAATAATACTAATTGTTATTAGATAAAAATATTCAAAGTTATAAAAAATGATAATCTAAAACTTTCAAATATCTAAATTAAATACTCTTCTAGAGTTTCTTTTTATAGAAAATCAACGATTATACTATTAAAATCAATCTATTTTAGAATTTCTTTTTCAATAGACACCATGGTCAACCCATTTAACCTTTCTTATGATATTGTCATAAGGTAATACCTTTTGGGCTAAAAAACAAGGGGCTACGTACTAAAGATTAGTGAACAAAAAGTTCGCCGAGCCAATAAGAAAAATGATAAAAGTATCATCGATGACATGCTTGTGAAAAGCCTACAAACTGAAGGCCATTTGAAACATTTGAAGATGCTTTCAACATATTGTGAAAATACAAAATAAAACACAATCCACTTAAATGCGCTTTTGGAGTTAAATTCGAAAAGTTCCTCGACCACGTAGTCAATCGGTGAGGTACATGTTTGGTATCGATTGAAATCTAAATTTTAATTTAAATCAAAATTAATAATTAATTTTAATAACATATTTTATGAAATCATTAACTTTTTAACTTTTATTAAAATTTACTAAAAATTTGAATTCAACCCTCACCAAATAGGAGCAAAATCACAATAGATTTGAATTTATTTTTTTTTATTTTCTCTTACTCTATCTTATTTTCTCCCTCACACCTTTTACCAAAATATTAATCCTTCTAATTTTCAAAATTTGTTTATAATTTTTCTACAAATTATCACATCTACTACAAATTTTCACTTTTCAATCAAATTTTCAATTAATTAGAACCTAAATTTGCATTTCCCCCTATCCTATTTGAGTACATAGAATGTGTCTGAACTAATTATATCAAATTTAACTTTTATTTAACGAAGTGCATTTATATGATTGAATATTGGTTATATGTTTTTCCTTTCAATCACTTGAATTGATTGTTTGTATTAAATATACTATAATTTTTTTAAACGTAAATATGAATTTTCTTATAATGTGCAGCAAATTATTAATAAAATGACTATTCGAAATCAAATGGATGAAAGTTATGAGCAAAATATTAATGAAGAAATATTTTTTAAATGTAAATCTACATTTTCTCGGATAGGTTCTGATAACCAATTTGCTGACACTGTGTGTCAGATCTACGGTCAACTTTAAATCATTCAAAAACCAATAACAAAGTATTCAGTTTGTGCAGAGTTTGATTGTATCCCCTAACTTAAAATTTTCTGCATCCGCCCCTGTTGACAAGATTTAGACCCTCATAAAAATACAATTCCCTACAAAGGCTGAGCAAGCATTTCAAGCTTTAAAAGACCATCCAGAGGAGCCCCTGTTAGCAAGCATTTTAGGCTTTAAAGTTTGAATGGGATAGTGCGTCAGTCTTGTAAACTGTCTGTAGTTTGATTCTGCATGATGGATGCACTCGGGGGAATAATTGTAGGGGTCATCTTTATCCTAAAGAACAAATAAATTTCAAAAGTAATCAATATTAATTTCTACTAAATTTTTTTAACATTCATTTCCTTCAGTACGTTATTTTGTCACTGCAGTTTGACTAAATTCTCTTGTCTATTTACAAATTTTACTAAGTATCTTGTTTTAAATTAGGTGCTGAAAACACCATTAATAGTATTATTCTTGTATACGTTTAATATATGTTGGCATGCAAGATGCTTATAGCTTCAATCAAATGCTTTCCTCCCATAACTCTTGTAAATGAATTAAATTTAGTACATGGAAATCCACTCAAACGTACCTCTCTCAATTCACCGTGGGGTTTTATTCTAGAGCGATCTACACTTCGGAACTTGAACTTCATCATTCATCTCAATTAAAACTGAAGATACAAGTTGATGGTAAGGCTTTTAGTATTTCACTTCAAAACTACTATATTTAGAAAAGAAAAATTATTGGTGTACATAAAACATGTAAATAGGGTTGTCCAGATCTGAGGGTTGACACCCCTATGTAAATATTTTATGTACACTAAGCACGACCCTCTAGGAAAAGATGAACAAGTCTACAGTAGCAACCCAAGAAACAAAAAGAACGGAAGGATTCAGTGAGACTAATTGAAACTAAACAGAAAATTTATCATATTACTTAAACCGAAATTACAAGAAAATAGCACGAGCAACGTGCGGAATCTGGCGGCACCAATAACAATATATAGCATCATGGTCTTACACGAAGTCGCTCACCAGTGGCTAAAGTCGCATGGGGAACCAAATACAGCAAAACAAACAGGATATTCGAGGATTAAATGGAGAAAACCACAACTCTTAAGCAATGAGGAAAGGCAAAACAGTTAGCATAAAGGATTCATAAGTGAAAGTTGCTGAGCCAGAGTATGCAGTGTCCTTCTCCTTAAATTTTTCAGTCAGTCCCGAAACAGTGAGGCAACACCTGGTGGTAGAAAGGGGTAGAACACAGAGAGAAAATTAGTATAAATGTCAGATATACTCACCGTCACATAACATGGAATGTAGCATAAAAGATATAGGTCAAACATACTCGATGAAATTGTCGTATTCAATAGCCTTGTTTTTCCCACCACTTTTATCAAACTTGGAAACCAGCAAATCCAAAACCATAGGTGATACCGAAAATCCAAGGCTGAGAAGAGCTTCTCTTAGTTCTGCCGAATCAATTTTCCCACTCCTGTCCCTGTCAAATCTCTCAAAAATTGCCTACAAGAATGAAAAAGATAATAAGATTGGATGGATACACAGGGAAATTATTTATTATTATGAAAAGATCAAAGTAAAATGATTTTGGAGTTTACCCTCCAGTTCTGAAGACTATAATGAACTTGAGTGTATTCCTTTGGGCCTGTTTAAAAGAATAGCAACAAATCAACACCACAAGAAGAAAAAGTCACGAAAAGAGCACAAATCCAAATAAACAAACAGATCAAAAGGAAACTATCCCATTATCTCTTCCACAATTCAGCAACTCGTATGTAGTTCAAACTATAATGGCACTACTTGTTAACACCAAGCAATCAACAAAGCAAATTTCCATCTCGAAATCAACCCCACAATCAAATACTGAGTTACATTTTCTTCATCTTGCTTATGAGATTATTGAGCACTAGGCTCAGTTTCTTCTTCTTGTTTGTGTGATTATCTACACTTCAACCAAAATCAATAGAACAAAAAGAATGAAAATGCCCATATACCATCCCAAATAACACTAACTTTTTTCTACAACTGCATCTTAGAAGCCCTAAAGGCGTGTAGAATCTTGACAATCACATAAGTATTACTTCATACCCTTGCCAAGTCTTTAATTTACTAATTCAAGGCTACTCCATTGAAGTGTCAAGGCAATTGTCACAATTAAATGATATGACATCTTCCTTCTGAATGGCGGATAACGGGGGAGGCAGGCCTGGGCTATAGCCCAGTCTTGCCCAAGCCATAATGAAATGCCTGGGAATGGCTTTAATATTGCTAACTCTTTAACAGGAATTTAAGAGGCATGTTTCAAATAAAGATTAAGTTACTTGTACATAAAAGTGATACATAAGGGGTTACATAAACTGATATGGAGGGAAAATATTAGATGCAGAACTTGTTTTAAATTGACATATGATAAAGTGACAAGTTGTATTATATACCCCATTATGTAAAATTTGATGTACATGTAATAAGGTCCTTCAAATAATATCCATGTATTCTACTCTTTGGATCTTTTCCATGATTTGAGTCGGTCAATTGTTTATTCTTGGATTAGTTAAATTAGGTTGAATTGTTGGATTTGTTGTGGGATTGTAAATTATTTTTGAATTGTTAGATTGCTGATTTTTTTTTTCACCTTTTAGATTTTAAATTATGGAGAATATCTATGCTACAATTTTTGAGTTTTAAGCCTCGGTGAATACCTAATTGTATAAAGGTGGGATCTTTTCCCCCTCAAAAAACCAATTAAATTAAGCTTGAGTCAGACAAATTAGTTAAATTACAGCTAATTTAGTCAATTTTGGTCTTATTAAAATCTAATCATATGTACCTAGATGTATTTTTCATATACTTTTTCGTCCTCAAGTTAATGTATTATATTAGTTTACACATGTTGAGGGTTAAAGTTCACTATGTTCACATAACTAGATGTGTCATGTGTGTTTACTTTTAAATAAATATAATTTTCTCCAATTATCGATGCTTATAAAATTTATATTAGTAGCCCACCGTAAAGTTTAATCCTAGCTCCGCCCTTGCTTCTGATGCATGGATTACCACTTCCAGTGCATCTTCTTTAGCTGGGAATGGACTAAAAAGCATGTAGAAACATCGCTCTTAAGGTGAACATCCATGCACAGATTCATCTACAAGTTACTGGGTAGAACGCATCGATATAATCAACTGAAACACGAGAACTGTGGAAATGGATCCTAATTTTCTCAAAGAAGTCCGAGTTCCTATTTAGAGCTATGTGTTATATTGGCCCTCCTAATTCCCTGAATCCCATTTTTTGCAAATAGTGCTAGTATGCATACAAAAATTTCATTCCTAAGTTGATGGTTTTGTCTAAAGTTCAATAATTTAATGTAAAATATTGATCCATAAAATAATCAAATTCTTTAATAAAAGTACATTCCAAGATTTAACCAAAGCAAAATGTAGAGATAAAGTAACTGATGGCATCTCCCAATCCTAAAAGATTACCTTTAAAAGCACCACCAAAAGACTATCTAAATACAAGATGCGCGTTTAGAGCCCGTTTGATTCCTATTTTTCTAAGAGAGAATGAAAAATATAGTCATTACGGGACCCAACACAAGAGATAGAAAGTCAAATATATTTTTCATTTTTGTGGTCAAAGAATAGGAATGAAACGGCCCTTAATGAGGATTTTAATACTCTGCTTTTTAAATTATTCAAATCATATTTGAATTGATTAGTCATGGACATATAAAAAATATTAAATAAAAGATGATGAGAAATTAATAAATGTTTACTGAAAAAATAAATAAAGAGCCAAAATTAGGAGCATGTTTGGAGTGTATAAAAACTTCTCCTCTAAATTTAAAATTGGTCTCTAACTATTATGGATAAGATGCTGTTTTTATAGAAGCGGGACATGCAATGGTAGTTTGAGGCAATTATGCATTGTGGTCAAGTGTTGGGACAGTTCCAACCCAATCTGTGAAAACTGAGCCAGCAGTTGGGGGTGTCAACTCCTACCGTGGATTGGTATATATTCTAAGTGTTGGTGACTTAGAATATGTAGAATAATAGATGCACCGTTGAGGCAACAGATAGATTTGTTGACTCTTCACATTTTGGTACTTGTGTTTCTTTGTTTTATAAAAATAAAGTTGGATGGTTCTCGTAAATCCTGTTTCTATTTTAAGTACTTCAATATTCTAAATAATTAGTTACTCTTTACCTACTGAACTTTGCCATAGGTTACTATGAGCAAATAGTACCCGAAAGTTAAGTACTTCAATATTCTCAATAATTCTCCTGTTTTCAATACCAAGAAGTGCAATTACAAGTTGTTGGCTAGCAGATACGAGAAACTTCGCGCCACTGCAGGGATTTGCTGAAATTCGAGTCCGACCTGTGCTCTAACATTTCAACCCAAATGCTGAAGTTCGCAACCACCACAACTCCACTTTTCATGCACAAAATTAAATATTCTACAACCAAGAAAATAAAAAATAAAAAAACACCACTGCTGCATTATTGTATAGTATTTCATGCTTGTACCCCCAATTTCATACAGAACAGATTCTAATCGTCCCCATCCCTAAAACTATTAGCTGCATCTGGGTTTGATTTAAATGTTTAGAAATAAATTAAAATGATCTTCAATATAGAACGTGAACTCAACTGTAACTCTACAGATTAGGGTTTCATTTTATGATCTCAAATTCTAATCATTTCATGAGGCGTTTTTCAGGCTCGAGCATCGATTAATCTTTGGTAGGGTCTAGGAGACTTGTTCGGGTCAAAATTTTTCTGTTAGAACATAAAGATGTGGGGGGGAGAGAGAGAGCGTGCATACCGATCTTTCTGATGTTGGTGTTGGTGAAAATGTACATGAGAAGATGGACAGTCCTCAAGCTGAAGCTCTGATTGTACGTCGAAAGCGCCTTCTGGAGCTCCTTATCGTCAATAAACCCACTGCCATCCTGGTCAGCCATCTGGAAGCCCGCTATCACGTTAGGGTCGGTGCCGGGAGGGAAAGCAGAGGGAACGAGAGCAGCAAAGGGGCTTCCGTACGGCGCAGAGGGTGGCGGAGGATAACCACCGTAAGATTGTGGTGCAGGCGCACCATAGGGGGCAGAGGGCTGAGAATAGGAATTATCTTTTGGTGGTTTGTGGGGGGCGGAGGGATTGTTGTATGGAGGAGCTGAAGGGGCGGAGTAAGGGGTGTAGGCAGAGGATTGACCTGTCTGTGGTGGACCTGGCGGTGGCGCACCATATGGGGCGGAGGAATATGACTGAGAAGAAGGTGGCGCACCGTAAGGGTAGCCAGAGGGTGGTTGATGAGGGGGGTAGCCTGACATTTTATATTTCTCTGCGTTTGACGAAGTTCTGAGTGCTTGCTAGCTGTTATGTACGCGGAACCCCTGCTAAATAAATAGGTCATTATTCTCGGTTTAGGGTAGGAGATTCTGTTAAATTTCCAATTATGTTACGCGTTCTCCCTTTTCTGTTTCTTTGAAAAAAAAAATATAATAATAATAATAATAATATATTATTATTATTATTATGTTAAATCCACTTTCCAATTATGTCACGCGTTCTCCCTTTTCTGGTTCTTTGAAAAAAAAATATATAATAATAATAATAATAATAATAATATTATTATTATTATTATTATTATTAATATTATTATTATTATGTTAAATCCACTTTCCAATTATGTTACGCGTTCTCCCTTTTCTGGTTCTTTGAAAAAAAATATATAATAATAATAAAAAAAAATAAATATTATATTTATTATTATTATTATTATTATTATGTTAAATCCACTTTCCAATTATGTTACGCGTTCTCCGTTTTCTGGTTATTATTATTATTATGTTAAATCCACTTTCCAATTATGTTACGCGTTAATAATAATAATAATAATAATATTATTATTATTATTATTATTATTAATATTATTATTATTATGTTAAATCCACTTTCCAATTATGTTACGCGTTCTCCCTTTTCTGGTTCTTTGAAAAAAAATATATAATAATAATAATAATAAATAAATATTATTATTATTATTATTATTATTATTATTATGTTAAATCCACTTTCCAATTATGTAATGCGTTCTCCCTTTTCTGGTTCTTTGAAAAAAAAATATAATAATAATAATAATAAATAAATATTATTATTATTATTATTATTATTATGTTAAATCCACTTTCCAATTATGTTACGCGTTCTCCCTTTTCTGGTTCTTTGAAAAATAAAAATAATAATATAATAATAATAATGCCCCGGAAATTTCAAACAATTACAACCTTTGGATGACCATGAGTAGTTTGTCAAAAATGTATTTTAAAATAATATTTTGATGGAGAATATATAGTTAAAAATAAGGAAATTTTTTGAATTTGAGTGTAATATTATTTTATTGAAAAATGTGTGATTGAAAACAAGATCAAGAAAAATGTATATTAAAAGAATTAATCTGCAAGTGCCAATTTTTTTTTAACAAAATAGATATAGCTGCTTTCCTGCAATTTTGCTGTTGCTAAAAACTATTTTTAACAATAGTCAATTTACCAATTTGTAGAAAAATATTTACTTATAGCATTGCTCATTTTGAAAATAGTGGGACCAATAAAAGGGCATATCTTATTTCAAGTTGTCGTCAAATGATGAATTACTTTCTAACAAATTAAAATATAATCAAATGACAAAAACAAATTTTATATTATAATATAAACGTTTTGAAAATAAGCTATTCAAACATGTTGATATAAAATAGGGAAAATTGCAACATCGAGCCCTAATCTTTTCATTTTTTTGCATGTTTTATCCTAACCTTCATTTTGTGACACCGTCAGATAACTGGAAAAATTAAAGAATTAACATCCAATAAAATCATCCAAAAACATCGTCCATAAATGTATCAACATCTAATAAAATTATCTTGATAGCAGATAGTTCAAGGAATTTTTCCAATCAACTGACGGTGTTTTGGACGGTTTCAGTTTAGATGGACTTCAGGTGCATATTTATAAAAGGTAAGGGACCTTCATTGGCACAAAATGAAGGTTAAGGTAAAATCTGCAAAAAAGAAAAAGTTATGGACCACTGCTGCAATTTTTCCTATAAAATAATGCATAATTGCTCTAGTACTCGCATCTCACAAATTTGTAAAATTTATACTAATGAATTCAGAAACAAATAGAGAAAGCATTAGAAATACCCATCACTTTTCTAATAATATTAGATGCACTCCAATCTTTTTAATTATAAAAGTATTACAAATAACCATCACTTTACTAGTAATATCATAGACACTTCAACGTTATAAAAATATAATTAAGTTTTCATATTTTATATTTGAGTATCATAAATATATCTAAGCACTATTTGAGTTATGTATCATCTATAATGTCGTTAAGGAAAAAAAAAATCTACAATTAGTTACATTTTAATTTATTTTATTAATAATGGGTTAATTTCAGAAACGGTTACTGAATTTAACAAAAAATTACAAAACGGTTACTGAAATTTAAAATTTTTAGTAACAGTCACTGAACTTCCAGGTGGTTACACTAATGGTCACTTAAGTTTAAAAACTTGTACAAATGGTCACAAAATTTACCAAAATGATTCTACTTCAAACTTAAGGACCATAACACGTAACCAAAGAATATTGAGGAACTCAGGTGCAAATTTTCGACCAAAAAACCTTCAAATCCAGTGACGTTTGATTCCAAAATTTGGTATATCAGAGTTGTAATTTCTGCAATTGAGTAGTTATCCAGTGTCTTTTGAACCTGAATGTCAGTTTCCCCAAGTTGATTTGTATATTAGGTTGCATTGGAGCCTCAATTGATGGATGAAATTCATTTTCTCGCGAGCGGACATAGTGCGAAAAATCCAGAAATTGGCAAACTGGTGGTGTAAATTGGTGAAGACCCATATGTGCATCTTGTTTGCCACGATGAGTATAAGGTAATGGTGGTGTGCGGCCATAATTGTTTATTCCGAGGCCGAAAATTGGAGAGGAAAATTCGTTGTTGCTGCCTTCAAACTAGTATTATTTAGATTTTGATTTAAATTGTTTTGTGATGATATGGGACAGTGAACCTACTCATCTTGGGGAGTACTAATAGCTTGTGATGGAGTTTTGGTATGGGTGATGGTGGTTTGGCCGGAATTGGAGGTAAAATCGTGCGTGGGTATGATTTTTTGAACCGAAAATTCTTTTGATTTTTAATTGTTTGAGGCTATTTGTTGCCATAAGATTGTGGAGAGATGATGAAGTGTTTGTGGTGCAAAAATCCAGTGGTTTATCAGACGATAGGGTGGTCGATTTTGGCCTTGAATCCGCTGACGCCGGAGATGGACTTGGAAGCAGTCACTAAAATTTTTTTGCATAAAGAGTGGTTTGGTCCACAATGTTTGATTTTAACTTGTTTTGGTCCTTCAAGTTTGAATGAAAAGCATAACGGTCTTTCAGTGACCCCTTTTGAAAGAAAATATAACTTCAGTGGCCGTTACTGAAAGTTTTAAACTTCAGTGTCCGTTTTGTAATTTTTTGATAAGTTCAGTGACCATTTATGAAATTAACCCTATTAATAATTAATTAATACTTTATATATAATGTACACACAGTACAGTATTAACATATGCAAACTTATCAATAAAAATTTATATTTATATATTTCTAAACTACAAAATAAGATGTTTAATATAAATCTGTACTTTTGCAATTCAAGCAAAATTTAAAAAAATAGCTTATTAGAGCATTACGCCCCATTTGGCTCCTCTAATTTTCATTCTATTATATTTCATTTTTCTTTTTCTATTTTTAATCACACAATCTTCCATAAAATAATATTACACGTAAGTTGAAAATTTTTCATTCATTTTCTACCACTCATTTTTCAAAAAAAATTATTTCACTTGTTCTCATTTCCAGAAAATGGGAGCCAAACGAGAATACACACCTTTCAAATTTATTATTCAGTAATGATCATGTGACTTGATTGTTTTGTGATGTAAAAAATTGAGGAGATTCTCATCAATATTTGGCAAAGTCAACTCCAGCAAATCAATGAAAAAATGTCGTACGTACAGAGATGTTTAACAGGAAAATTTCACTGGAAAAGATGTGGCTTCCTTGAATTGGATGATGAAAAAATATAAATTAAAATAGATTAATGTAGTATTGACACTTGACATCTATTAAAAAAATTTGTGAAACAAACTTCCCTGTACTTATATCAAAATTATAGCAAAATTGAATCTTTAAAAAAAAAAAAAAAAAGGGTTGAATCCCAATCTTGAGGGTTCCCACCGCCCTGCGTCCTAGAGTTTTGTGAGGGAGGTAAATCGTGGGATGTGCCCAGCAGGTCGGGGAACAAGAGTTGTCTGTACATTGCACCTACAAAGAGTCCAATTCCATGCTTCAGGAATCTAACCCCCACACTGCGGCTGCTGGCAAGGCGTGAGATAACCTCACTTCTGTTCTTTACACCACTAGGCTATGCTCCGGGGCATAGCAAAATTAACAGCCTGTTTGGAAGGGATTTTTTATCGCAAAAAATTGATTTTTGACCGTTATTTTACTATTCCAGCCATAATTTTTGACTTTTTCTCTTATAGGTGGACCTCACTTTCTTCTAATGATCAAAAAATCAATTTTCAAAACCCCTCCCAAGCAGGGCCTAAATCTTATTAAACAGTAGTTCATCAAAAGTCAAGGGGCACTTTTGTACTTCTAATTAAATATTTTAAACCCTTTAACGCCGCCTACGCGTTTGCAATGAATCACTTCCCTCGTGGCCACTTGTAATTGACGCAAGTCAACTGCAATTTTTATTGACTTTTAGCTCCTGCGCAACTTTCTTGCTTTTAGGAATTTTCCAGGCTGGTGTAACCTATCCGAGTAGGAAAAATCTGTTTGTTTCCAGAAAAGAAATTCAGAAAACTCGCATGGTGGATCCATGTGAGTTTTATATTGAAAAAATATATCCACTCACTCCATGAATTATGTGCGGTCAGTAAGTCCTCTGAAAAAAATGTTTTCTGTACATGTAGTGCACTTCATCCGAGTAACACTGTTAAGTTTAACACCAATTTAAATGATGGAACTAATAAAATTTAATTATAAATTTAATTAAATAAATCAAAAAATTTTACTTTTAATTGAACTTATAACATCATACCGTATAAACTAATATTCTGATATTAATGATGTTAAATAACATTATTCAATATACAAATACTCACAACACACATAGTTCAGTTTGTTGTAGATTAAAGAGTTAATATAAAATTAAATTAAAGTTAATAATTATTTTTAAAAACAACGGAATCCCCTTTTTTATAAATTCTTTTATCCCTTTCACTTTCTTTATCGTGTACAATCTAAGCCCCCATTTG